CTTAGCTTCTCTTTTATTCAAGGTCAGTATGATTCTTCATTATTTCTTTGCCAAAATGACAAAGGAATTGTGTTGTTTTTAGTCTATGTTGATGATATTATCATCACAAGATCTGGTACTCAATTGATGTCTCAGTTACAGAAGCGTCTTTAGGTTCTTTTCATATAAAGGATTTGGGGTCTTTAATTTGTTTCTTAGATCTTGAGGTCACTCTTCTCTTGCTGGTATGTTTCTTCATCAACATAACTATACTAAGAAACTCATTACTTTGGCTGGTCTCCAGGAAGGTCGTCCTGTTGATACTCCTTTGGAAGTTAATGTTAAATATCAAGAAAATGATGGTGACTTTCTATCTGATCCATCTCTGTATCAACAACTTATTGGGAGTCAATTATCTAACCATTACACGTCTTGATATTTCATTTGTTGTGCAACAAGTTAGTCAATTCATGCAGACACCTAAATTTCTTCATTTAGTTACAGTTCGACGTATTGTTAGGTATTTGAAAGGTACTTCTCATCGTGATTTGTCCTTTTATGCGAAGTCTCCTATTCTCTTAACAACCCACAGTAATGCTGACTGGGCTGGTTGTTCTGATACATATAGATCGATTACTAGTTGATGTATGTTTCTCGACAACTTTTTAATTTCTTGGAAGAGTAACAAATAAGATCGAGTGTCTAAGTCTTCTACTTAGTCTGAATTTGTGTTATGTCCTCTGCTTGTTCTGAGATCATTTGGCTTCGGGGTTTGTTGGCTGAGCTTGATTTTTCTCAACTTGGGTCTACTTTTCTTTATGAAGATTATACTAGTGCCATCTAGGTTACTGCTAATATTTTCTTTCATCAGCGCACGAAATGCATAGAAGTGGACTGTCATTCTATTCATGAAGCTTATGATAATGCTGCTATTTTTCTTCCTCATATCTCCTCTGATTTTCAGACAACCAATATATGTACTAAGGCTCTTTCTCGGCAGCGTCATCAATTTCTTGTTGGCAACTTGTTGCTTCTTGATCAGTCAACAACAATTTAAGGGAGAATATCAATCAAGAATGACAAAAATGAGGCAAAATTAAGACTTTCTTTATTTAAATTGATCCTAGTTTTCCTCTCTTGTTAATTGTACATATTTTTTCCTTATAGCTGAATATTTAGATTAAGAATATGTATTATTAGATTACCTAACTTTTGTTGTTGGAGGAACTAGGTTTAGTTTCATGTTTTGAGAGATTATATTCTCTACATGAATCTTTTTTCTCCGTTGCATTCTTTTTTTTTTTTTGTTTTGCAAGTGTTGTGTTTGTATCTTCCTCGGAAACAGTTGATGAACCTTCTAGAAGCCCAAGAAAGCCCAAGACTTCCTAGGTCTACCTCTTCCTTTCTTAACACAAGTTGAATCTAAAACATCTACTCTCCTAGTCAGATCATCAGATGGTCGACGTTTAATGTGACAAAATCATCTAAAACGACTCTCTAATTTTGTCCGTCACAGGAGCTACACCAACCCTATCACGGATATATTCATTTCACATTTTGTCTCTAAGTGTAAAGCTGTATAAAGCCACTCATCCACCTAATCATTCTCATCTCGGTAACACTTAACTTATTATTATGTTTCTCTTTTAAAGGCCGACATTCAGCGTCATATAGCATTGCAGTTTTCACCACTGTCTTATAAAATTTTCCTTTCAGTCTAAGCGGTACTTTTCTATCACACAAAAGGCCCGAAGCATTCCTCCACTTCAACCAACTTGAACTACTATTAACATCCTTATTGCCTCCAATAATTTTGATGTTTTTTTTGTTACCAATGACTTTTAACTCCCGATGTCATCCACAATGTAGAAGTTTAATGTTGACACCAACTTCATCATTCAATGTCTAACATTGACCATAATATTGATGATAATGAAGTTTTCACCTATTTTCAACAATGATATTGATGCTCTGTGCAAATAAAGCTGTCTTCTGACATTGGTAACAATGTTGTTGTTCGCCGTAGGCAATAATACGGATGCATGTTGTTGGCATAGATACTAATTACTCTCAACCCTAATAAAATCTATGCTTGCCAGCACTAATAATGTTGACATTACCATCGCCAACAATATCGTTACATGTTGTCGATACCAATGCCAAAAGCCATAATGTTTGAGCTCACCATCCTAATAATTTTGATGCTTGTTATCATTAATTATAATAATGCTTATTTTTAACACCAACATTGTTATCTACCCATCCCAAAAAGATTTTTATGCAGTGTCACTAATAATATTAATTTATGTTATTATTGATGAAGCTGAATCATGTTGATCAAAATCAACCCAATTTTTGTCATTGTGAATAAAGTTGATGGACAATATCAACATCAATCTTGATGCCAGTTGTCTTTCAATGTCAATACCAACACCAACGCTCAAAAATTACTGTAAGTATGTCGCTTCCTGTCTCATCAACATCAATTTTGGCCCTCACTGACGCAATTGAAGTCATTTCCTAACATTGCCACCAAGGTTTATGTTCTTCTTCACCAATTAAGTTGATGCTTAGTATTGCATCATCTGATGCCTATTGCCAACAACCACGTACATATGTTATTTCTACTGTTATTGATGTTAATATTTTTGGTCTTTAGTCTCTCTTTCTATTATATGGGAAGACCAAACATACAATCAATAATCTTTTAATGTCAATTCTAATGTCCCTCAAGAATCCTCCTACACCTTCCAAATAAGTTTTCTTCAATAATTCATGCCTTTTACATTGTATCAATGTATTCTTCAATTATGAGGACATTCCTTATAACATATAACTAAAACTAGCAGCATTATTTCAATTAACCGATAGATAATTTGATTTTCTCCCTTTTTATGCTTTCCACATAAAGAATTTCATGTAACCTATCATGAGCTTTTCTTAACTTTTGTTATTAGTTTGCATACAACATTTTTGTTCAATGTGAAGACCATAAACTCTCTCTACTGTCATAAAAACTCTAGCATGCAATAAGCTTGCACTATATGGCATACATTTGATTTATTCTTTCCTTTCCTAATTTCTTTGCATCTTTGGCCCATGATTCAAGACATTTTTCAATGTAAGCGCCATCAGCTGGAGTAAAATGCAAAGCATATAAAATTATAATAATATGACATAATGTAGGGTCAATAGACTCTACAAAATAAATTTACAATTTTCCATAAATCAAAATATAAAAGATTAAGCGAAGATGGACAATTAAAATAATTTCTCATTGTCAAAGAAAAATTAGTTTTGGTACTGTGGAATTGCTTCCAATCTGTTCTTCTGAAGCTATTATAGATTTTAAACCTCATCAAATTTAGCTAATCATGGAATTGCTTCCAATCTGTTATACCACCTGAATTGTGGAATATTATCGCAATTTTTTCATGTTAACTTGTCTTAAACAAAGCCACAGCTCAGCATCAAACTTCTGATGTGTTATATCTGCAATTACCTGTTAATCTCATCGGTTACATAACACAAATTTGTGTTTCAAAATCATCATACAGTAAATTTTGCTCTTCATCTAATCATTTTATTTTTCTGTTCATCTCAGTGAAAAAAGGGGGCATTTACATACATACCACCCAATTCCTAAGTGTTTACATACGAAGCAAATCTTTCGTCAGCAAAAAAAAAAAAAAAAAATCACCATTTTAACTTTTAAAAGGCAAAATAGTAATGTGGCATGCATGTAAAGATTGAATTTTATGTTTTAGATATGTAAACACATAAGAATTGAGTGTTTTGTATGTAAATCTTCCAAAAAAAACACTGATCGGCAGCTAAAATTCAGAAGCCGGAGAAGACAAGGGAGACTCAAATTCTGTCTGTACTCGTCTGAAAAACAATGCGACGGACGTTATTTTTTGACGCTTCTGTGGTCACTGGGAATTTTTCTTGGCATTTTGTATGCAATGATGATCTCTACTGCGTTGTTACTAATTATTATTATTATTTTCAATGTTATTTACAGTGCGCCACTTTTGATGGAAACAGTTCCAGAAAAAGACCTAACGCTGCTGATTCGCTTATAATTATTTTAAGATGCAAACTTCTTTAAGATTTTCTAACCAGTTTTTATATTTCATTCATGCTGCCATGAATTATTCATTTTTTATACTCATAATTGACAAATTTGTCTAGCTCAAGCTGCCTTCATCAAGGATAAAGATACCATTAAGAATTTTATTTGTCATTGATAAGCTAAGAAACTGTTCTATTTAATAGACAATCTTACTCTTGGATTGGTCAAGAATTTCTTCGAAGTTTGTTGGCTGGATTAAGAATTTCTTTAGTTGTATCTGAGATTTCCTTTTTAATATTTTTTTAATGGTGAGAAGTAGGGTGGCTTTAACTATTCTAATAGTATGAGATAAGGCTGTGTTCTTTCCCTTCACATTTTCACTTTGGCTCATATTTATAATGTTTTTAATCTAAAATCCTTAGATCCTTGGACTCATTCCTTGGTTAGATGCTATCACTATGTTCAGAGATTTGGCTTCTAAATGCTACAACCTTTTCATCCTCTTTAAAATTTCTTCTTTTGCTTCATGATGTGTAGCTATTTTTTTTCACAAAGTAGTAACCATTACAATTACATCTGTGTGTTTCTTTTTTCGTGCATGTAGAGTGTTGGCAACTTGTAGTAATTGTGAATTTTTTAGTCTTGTCTTTCTGCATAAGAAGGTTAATTATATTTTCTTCAACTCATTTGTCATTTTGTATGCAATGACAGCTTACCCCAATTCTCCTAAAGCATTCTCAAATTATATGTATATTCTTACAATCATATTTGCTTAAGGGCACAATAAATAGCAATCATACATTTAGTTTTTAATTCATTAAGATCTAACTAAGCTTTTGACCAATTATCAATGGGTTTTAGAATTACTTTTGCTTTCATCCACTTTAATTGATGGTTGAAATCTTTCCATAACAAGGTACATAATTCTAATGTCATTTGCTTGTAGGTATGTGGTCATTCTATTTTTTTCAAAAATGAAGGTAACATGATCAAACAAAGTGGGTTTAATGGTGGATCTTCCTTCTAGCTTGAACCATAAGGAAAATCATGTGGTATATGGGCAATGTAAGGCGATTTATTTTTAGATGGTCAGCTAAAATAAATCTCAGGCTAGATAACACTTAACGGTTAACACGACCTTTTTAAAATAGGAAAATTTACGTATTAGTGAGTGAGAAATTTTGAAAAAATATCATAAAAATAAGTATTTTTATTTTATGTTTTTCTTATAATTTCTTGATAATTGTGTATTTTATCTGCAGGTTTGTCCCTAAAAAAAATTTAAAAGTTTTGGTGAGTTTGTTGGGGTGCTGCGCGTCAGATACCAGTGCCATAATGTTGTGATATGAGGCCCTAATGAATTTTTTCCCGAGAGCTCAAAGTTGCAGCGTCGGGTGACCAGCGCCGCAACGCCAATTCCAACTCCCCAGCGCCCAAAGTAAGTGCCACGGTGCTATTCCAAGTCATGCAAGTTCAGTGGATGAGACAGATCCAACTCCACAATGTTACCACATTCAATGCTGCCTATCAAAACCAGCCTAAAGGATCAAAAGATTGAGAAGGCCAAGCCGTGGTGCCAAGAACCAGAGTCGCAGCACCACAACATTAGTTTTGAGTGCTGCAATCTAGAGCCAGTGCCATAACCTCAGTAACTTTAAAGCCGCGACACTATGACTTGACAAGGCAATTATTGAATGCACATTTTGATTTTCTTGGAGGGAGAGCAGCTATATATGTATGTATTGTTAAAAAGGTGTGCTGGAGTGTCTAAGGTAGGCTTTAACAAGAGTCTTTCAGTGTGAGTGAGTGCCTTGTGTGATGTCTTCTTTGTTTGAGAGTTTAAGCGTGTTATTTCTTGTGCTGGTGAAGCAAAGGGATGAATCAAGTGAAATGTTCGGAGATTTCTGAAATTATCAGTCTTTATCATTTAGTTTATGTTCTTTTCTTAACTCACACTTTGTAAACACACCCTTGTATTGTTGAATAGATTTATTTGTGATATTTTATAGTATTTCCATGGTGGACTAAACTGGCTAGTTCCTATGGATTTCTAGTTTTCTAAAATCAATGTTTTGAATTAGATTTAATGTTTTGAAAACTTTAAAATTTTATTGAATCATCAACTTCATTTTGGAATTCGTAGCGGCTATATTTTTGTTTGAAATTTTGTGACTTTGAGATATTGAGAGAGTCCTTACTACCACATGGAGATTCACAAGATAAATTTAGAGAAATAGACATATTCCCCTTGAATATTTGCAATCAATAGAGAAATGTGTATATTCTATCTTTGAAATGCTTATGAGCATAGGCATATGACTTCGGGCTTTGAGAATGAGTGTTTTTGTTTGCAATGGATGAAAACCTAAAATCATTTTTTTCTCCCGATTGACAAATTAATTTACTTAAAAAGATTTAATTGCATTGATTTCATGAATGAAAAATCCATAGGAAACCTCTCTTGCATTTGAAGCTCTTTAGATAGAAAAATAAAAAAATAACTTATTTCAAAATTTTCACTTCTTTGTATAGAATTAAAGTATGTGGAACTTGTGCCTTTGACTTTAATTTTCTTTCATCTCATTTCCTATATGATGACCCTGTTAGAAGAAGAGTAGATCTTTTAGATTTGGCTTAAGTTAAGAAATGTAGAGGTAGACCTAAAAAGAATTGAGCGTGTTGTATAAAAAATGATCCTAAATTATTAGAATTAAATGAAAATATGACACTAAATAAGACACAATGGAGAAAAAGGATTCATGTAGCCGACACCACTTTGTGGGATAGAGGATGATTGTTGTTATTGTCATTTTCGATGGGGTGATTTCAAACTCATTTTAATTGTATTACTTATACCAAACTTGTATTTTTGTGAGCCCATGTAAGATTGAGCCACCTACATACAGTGTAGTTTCCTTGTATTCACATATTTAACACTTAAAGTTTGATATTTACATTTATAACATTTTGGTATCATAAATAGTGCATGAAAATGTGCATTTCACTTTTCAAGAAGTTGATAATAATGATATTTTTATGTGATATTAAAAAGTTGAGTGCAATATATATATAATTACGAAAGTTTAGATGTTAGATATGTAAATAATATATAAGAATTGCGCGGAATATATGTAAATACCCCTTAAAAAAATTCAAAAAGATAGTAAAGTAGATTTGGCAAACTCAATCACTTCACCCAAAAGTCACCAAAGAAATTACTTACAATCAAGGAAGTAGCCATGATAAGGATACCACCATTAAGCATGACATGATTTCATACATAGAAGTTAGGTACTTAGCCTAGTATGTTTTGTCTGATTAGCTTAAAATTGGATAATTTAACAAATTCAGTTGTTAAAAATAGGTGTGTCAGAAAATTTTGTTGTTTGTGGACTTGTGTTCGGCTTATTAAGTAGCTCGTGAACACGAACATTTTTTAAGCTCGAATTACAAATGTCCCAATACGAACAACTCATTCTTCGATCGTGTTTGGTTTGTTTTAGCTTGAAATAAGGAAATTATATATATTTATATATAAGATTAAATCACCATAGTTCATGTTTTTGATCGGTTAGGTGTCTTCTTTTGCAAAAGACTGGTGCAGGTTAGAAACCTTCGCCTACAAATTTTAATTAATTCTATTAAAGCTTGGAAAATCAATCTGAACATGAGCCAATTCAAACAATTGATCAATATCCAGCCGAACATGAGCAAACTTCTTACGAGCCTAATTCGAACACCAGCTAATACAAACGAGCCAAACAAGTATAAAGCCTTCGCTCACTCAATCTCAGCTCAATTGCACCCCTACTTCAAAGTGCCCAACTAAGACATTTATATATTCATGAGTTATTTTGAAGCCTAAAGAGTTTGCTTTAAGATTGTGGAGACCATTTCAAAGGTTTGAAATTGTATGATGTGATGCAAAGAAATTCAATCAATTAAGAGAAAATCCAAAGATTCATGAAACTTTAGATTAGATTTGAACCACATCTGGGCCTTCAATTATACCAAAGTTTAATTAGAGATGCAAAATGACAATAAACAAATAAAAGCCATCATTGAAAAGAAAATAGAGTTAATATATCAAAAAAAAGTTTTATGAATATTTCCATTCAAGAACATTCTCATATGAAAAATTTTAAATTAATTCTTTTAAATTTTTATCAAGGTTGCCCTTTATTCTTGTTGCATGCTGGAAGTGATTCGCGAAAGTAGAGTAATTGTTTAGTGTCTTATTGTGGTATGAAAGTCCAACCCATACACAAGTAATAGAAGTGATAAGTAGAGAAATCATAAATTTTTATGTGAATAACTAGAAGAAGGAAAAAAACCATGATGTCTAGCTCAGCCGGAATGATCCACTATAAGTTGATAAATACACATAAATGTCATTGTCACATAAGCAGAAAAGGGTTGCACAATTCTTCGAAGTACAATGTATGTATGTAGAATAACACTATGCATAATGACCAGAAACAGTTGAAATTGGGAGTAGTTGTCCAAACTTCAGTGCATCATCTTTGAAGTACATTGTTGCACAAACTTCTTGATGATGCATTGCTTCGTTTGGTACTTTGTTACTCCACGATGTAGGTCATTACTCCGTACAGTGTTTAGTTGCAATGAGCTGGGGCCTACAGATGATGGTAGACGAGTGGCGGTTGATGGTGGTCTGCAGCTTTGGGAGTGGGAGCTGTTCAACTGGTCTTTGGGACAACATTAGAATTTGGCTCATTCTTCTTCGTCTAATTATCAGTATAGCTCCAAGCCTTGGTCTTTCTATCCCGCTTCATGAAGGGGGTAGTGCTCTATTTATAATGTGGGTGTGGCCTCCGATCCTTTGTAAATAAGAAAAGAATTTGGATCACTCAATTGGATGACCCGGAGAAATTCACAAGATCAGACCATATTTTAAAAATATTTTAGTATTTTAATGATGTCAAAATTGGGTGATTTCGGTCTCGTTAGATTTATCTCATCGAGACTCTTGATTCAACCATAAACTTTTTAGATTTAGAATCTATTTGACTTTTGAATTAGCCACCCAAAGCTTCCAAAGGTGGTATAATCACTTCAATCCAGGCTTACTTTGATTTGGATTAGATTAATTTTAGTGTCAATGTTTACTGTGTTAGTTTTAAAATCAGAATTTTGGTTGATTTTTAAATCGAGCTTGAATGTCTCTTAAACTAAAAATGCATCTAAATTTGTGTCAAATACCTCGAGAGTCATGTTGCATGATGAAATTTGTTGATACCTTATCAATCTTTGAATATTTCTATCATCTTTTGTTTGACTAAGCTATAAGAGAAATTCATGATAAAAATTAAAGGTAAAGAAAAGGCTAATGCTTCACTCTAACATAAATTCATACTTTAAATGGTTTATTTATTTTTCTATTAAACTTTATATAAATATTAAATTTATTCATTTTTGTTAGGCTTGAATTGTAATATGAAGAATATTTTTTTTAAAACTTTTTTTAATTGATTTGAAGTATAATATCCATCATATCTAAAATAAAAACTGCCACATAATTTAAAATTGTTTTGGTATACATCAATTATATTAGACCTTTTGAATTTAGCATTAATTTATTGATACACCATATAAAAACTCATAAATATCAACAAAAATGAAATAATTTGTTCAATTATTTGTAGCACAAAAATAAAAAAGGATATAGAATGTTAAGACCTAGCCATATATCTTTTTTATTTATTCAAATGTGTCATACAACATAAGCAATTTAGAAGATCTTGTGTGGTGAGGTCACTTCACAAGAGCTTTATTTTGTCCTTGCCACATCATCTATTCAAAATTTGAGAGAAACATCAATGTTATGTAGTAGTTGATCATCCTTACATTTTATGTAAGGAGGAAAAATTCTTTTGTCCTGCTAAAGCACTCTTAGTAATCCAAACAGTGATTCAAGACAAAGGGTAGATTTAAATCTTGCAAAACAAATACACTTTATAATACTGGTAATAAAAAACCTTTGCATATATGAAAGAGGTTATAAAGAAGATGGAACAACTTCTATATGAAAGAGGTAATAAAAGAGATGGGACAACTTCTATTGTGAAATTATCATGTTGAAATTATCGAATGCGGGCTCGAGATTCAATCCTCCAACATCGGACCAATATCTTTTATTGGTCCGATATTGGTCCGATGATGGAGGATTGAATTTGCTCTTCTATCAGCTTTTTTACAGCTCATGCACACACGCATGTATTAAGCTTTGAAGTCAAGACCTTGTTAGAGACAATGCATCCAATCACCAAGTTATTGTTGGATGCACAACTCCTCTTTCAATTTCTCGGCTCCTTTGAATTGTAAATAAAAGTAAAATTAGGAAAAGCCTCTATTTTATCCTCTTGGTACTCCTCTATCAATCGCTTAATTTGCTCTTTAAGTATAAATTTTTATTCCTCAATATAAAGGCAAGGCAAACTACCATAACCCATACTTACCAAAGTATAAACAGAACAACACATTTTGTAGAATGAGCAAAGTTAAATTGATAATAAGCATCATAAATTAAAACCCCGTAGTAATTGTCCCTCATTGGATGCATCTATACACATAATTAATCACTAATGATAAAAATGATTAGAGGTTAATCAGCTTTCTAGAATTGCCATCGAGAGATCGAGATTAATCTTCTCTGGCGACGATGACAGAGACAAGGAGAGCTGCAGATTATCATTTTTTGTGTTCTCCTTGCTATGCCCTTCCTCAGATCCATTTTCCTGCATATAAAAGCATGTAAAAATATGTGAACTTTTTGTAATAAATGATGGCAAAACCCAAGGAAAATGTGAGAACAAATTCTCTGCTTCTCAATTTGGCATGCAAAAATGCTCAGCAACAGAACCCATAACATAACATGTGTCTAGGGCTGTCAAAACGGCTCGTTGTCCGTGAACAGCTCATGTTCAGCATATATATGTATGTAAAAGTGAAATACACATGTTCATACAGAGACAAGGTACAAGGTGGCATATATATGTATGTAAAAATTGAATTTTAGGTACATATGCATGTAAATTTTCTTATATTTGCTTATTTATTTTGGCTGTACCTTGAAGGCATCTAATTGTTCATCCCTGAAAAGATCATCACATGAGAACTCAGTCACTGCTCTCCACTTCAACTGAGCTGTGTCAAAATAATCAAAATAAAATTGACTAGTAGCTGCACCAGAGCTTCCTTGAATTGATGGAGACCGTGCCTCCATTCTTAACCTACTCACAAAACAAAGACATAAGAAATGAAATGTCAGTCTAGCTTTTCACCATCGATCCAGCTATATTTACATACCTAACACTCAAAATTTTTTTGTTACAGTTACACCGCCCAAATCTTTCATATCACATAAAGAATGCCACCATTTTAGCTTTTAAGAAGTGAAATACACTTCATGCATAGTAATATGGTATGTACATAAATCTCCTTTTTTTTGTTTTTTTGCATAGATCAATTAATGGATACCTTTTAAATGTATATATTTGATCATGTTCATTCCCATCAACAACAATACTGTGCTCATCTCCATTGGTATCAACATTATCTACTGGCTCTCTTTTTCTTGTTAACAGTAACTCTTGTGCTGAATCAGAACCTGTATCAGTATAATTTCTTCAGAAATTTGGTTAGTTAAAATCGAAATAAGGAATATTAGAGCGGCAAAGCAGAGAGAAAAAACCAACTTTGCATAATCTGTTAATGCTAATAGATCATTTGTAACAATACTATGACTAAGATTAAAATCTAGCCATACTTAAAGCAAAAAATTAATTATTTTCATGTTTTTTTCTTAGTTAACCAAGAAATAACAAATATTCATATAAAATTGTGAAAAAGCAAGAATTATGAATGTAAATATTTTTTAATTATACTTTTACCAAATACGAAAAAAATATAAATTTTCTTACTTAAGAAAAAAATTTTAAAAAGTAAATATTAACCAATTCCTATATATTTACATATCAAATTATTATGTTATGGCTCATATGCCATATAGGGACAGACGCTGGATCGAAGCGGAGCGGAGCGGAAGATCTGTCCAAATTGGGAAAGTTACGTCGGTTAGGGTGGGGGGCAAAGCCCCGCGGTTTGGTACAGGGTTAATGTTGTAATTACATATTGTGCCTAGGGTTTACTTCTGGGGTTATAAATAGGCCTCTTAGTAACCCCAAGAGGGATCCCTCATTTCTGTAAACCCTTTTCTGAATAGTAAATTGAATCGCCGCTCTGCTCCCGAGGACGTAGGCATCTTTGCCGAACCTCATTAAATCTCTGTGTTCTTCTGGACTCTGTTTTTCTTCGCCGTTATTTTCTCAACACAAATATATCTGAACTTTATTTTTTTTATATTTATACCACCTAAATCCTTCATATCACATAAAAAATACCATCAATTTAACTTTTAAAGAGTGAAATACAATTTTTTCTTTTTTTTGCATAGATAAGTATGAAAATCTTCTCTTTAAATTAAAAACATACTAAAAATTAATTTTCAATTTAGCTTCCAAATAAACTCAATTTTAAAAAAAAAAAAAAAAAAGAAAATTAAAGCAAGATGATTTTGGCACACGTCCTGCATGAAGGCTTCTTAAAGTTAAAAAAAGATTTTCACTCAAAATAATCTTCCTCCAAATGTTAGATATAAAAATGACTGAAAATAGACAACATTTTCATCTACCTGCTAAATATTTTACTTATTTTCAACCAAAAATAAAATCTTCATAACAAATTCTTACAATTCAATTGAAACAGCTCATAAATCTACCATAAAAATATATTTTCCCTTTATGCAATACCTGATCTCCTCCCCTCCTCCATGCGGATTCTGCACATCTATGAAAAAACAAAGCACAAATCATACTATTCGTCAGGTACTGTTTCCTTCCTTTTCTGCAACCATGAAAAAAAAGAAAAAATCGAAGAAAGCATACCTGAAGACGACTCTTGATATGAGAGAGCTGTATCTCTGAACATCTCATTAGTTCTCTGATTCTCTTAGGTGTAGCTTCTGCTTCATTGCAGAAGATCAATATGGCATCCAAGCTATAAACTAAACTCCTAACAAAAAAAAAAATGGTGAAAAATTTTACTTCTTGGGCAGCCAAGGTCTCTCACTGCTTCATCAAACAGTTTTTTGAGCTCATCTGACCAATTGAAGCGAGGCTTGCTTGATCGGATATAGGGTCTAACTTGAGTACCGTTGCTTCTGCGATTCACCATACCTTCCCCTTCTCGTGCATGGAAGAAGGAGAGAGAGAGAAGAAAGAAAAAAAAGCTAAGTTTTTCATGTTCTGGCTGCTTAAATAAGTGTTGGGTGCCAACGCCATCTTATGTCTGCAAATTTTGATTAGAGTAATTAGTTTAAGAAAAGTTACATAACTCTTTATTGTTTTACATATCTAACATTCATAGTTTGATATTGATACCTATATTTCTATCCTACTTTTAACAATATAATGATAGTGTGTTATTTTTTATATAATATTAAAAAATTGAGGGGTATGTATATGTAAATATGAATGTTTAGGTGTTAGATATCTAAATACATAAGACTTGTATGGTATGTATATAAATGTCCCATGAATTTCATGTTTGATTTACTTAGTTGAAGTGGATTTAGTTAATATATTCATGTATGATTTATTTAATAGATTCATAACTTTGTCAGAAATTCATATTTCAGATTATTCAGCACAGTTTGAATAACATCATTTAGGAAAACATAATGAAAGAGATTCGCTGAGACATCATGCACTTTTTGCCCTCAAATAAAGATCAAATATTTAAATTTGGACTATAACCCGACATGTAATTAATAAAATATGTATATTCATAAAAATGGTATATATGCAATATAGACAAATAGTTGAAATTATTCAGGATTAAGCGCAAACTAATGAAAGTAGGCGTTGAGGACAGCATATGCTGTAGTGGTGGTTGGTGTATTGATTGATGATACTTTAAAATGGTGCATGAGGGGGCAGAACAGAGACAAATTCTTCTTCTGTTTTTATCACTGAAATGCTTCTGTGTCACCTGATAAAAAGTAATGGAAATTCTTCAGACCATCAAGAGCTTCTGATCTTGCCGATATGATTGTTGTGACTGATGAGTTGCAGCTTTGGACCCTCTCTATTTCCTCTTCCAAAATAATATTTTATATATATTTATATTTATGTAGCACTTAATTTTCATATATTTATGTATCCAGTATTTAGACTTTACTTTTTTTAAGTTTATATCATAAAAATTTTTCATATCGCACAAAAAATAATATTTTTTTACTTTTTTTCAAGTGAAGTACTACTTTTTTTATGTGTAAAAAGTATGGAGTGTGTATGTATGTTTGTATGCATGCATGCATGCATGTAGGTATACACACACACATACAAAAATTAAAATTTAACCATTAGATATTTGTACCTCGAAAATGTGCTAGTGCTCAACTTAAGGAAATCTAACAGTCAAATAGAAAGAAAATATGATAAATGAGGGCTTACCGATAGAAGACTAGAAGGCCTACTAATTCGATCGGATGTAGCTGCCGGAGCCAAAGGCGAAGGTAGACCATGCTAATAGAAAGGCAAGTAGACGACTGATCAATCCGAACTCAAATTAATTGAACTAAAAGAAGGTATATAGGAATTGAGTGTTATGTATACATTTACATATGTAACATATTTTTATTATTTATTTTTTTTGAAAGATCGATCAATGGGGCGAACCGCCGATCAACGTCATTACGCTAACCCCCGCTAGATTTGGGGGTTAGCACAATGTTACATATATTTACGACCTTCAAAGAGATTGTTTTATCAACATGCACACATCTAACACCTATTGAAAGTGCATCTTCCCTGAAGGTCGTAAGTCCCTCTCAAATATTTAGCACATCAAAAAATGATTAGAGCTCCCTTCACTGTAGATTTGCTTTCATTGTAAAATTCAAAGCTACCTATATCACTTGCTTTCGCTGTAGATTTGCTTTCATTGGGTCAGCTTATGGAAAGAAGTGAATTTCAATCGATGTGATTAGTCGTTGACGTTGAATCAATTTGGATCACTTATAATTAAAAAAAAAAAAACTATGAACGTAACGAACTACGAACTAATGTTTTTGAAATTTGATAAAATTGAAAAATATGGGTTTGGGTTTTATGGTGAAATTTGATATGTGAGGGTGAATTTTGAAAATTGGATAAAATAAGGAGCTAGTTTTAGAAATATAAATGTTTTGTGTGCTATGTATGTAAATAAATGCCCCTTGTTTTAATTAGGGTTCGACGAACCCTAATTACATAGCTAATAGGTTGATATAAGTAGGGATGTAAATGAACCAAAGCACTCGATGAACAATTTGAACTTGGCTCGGTTAAGAATCAATTATGTTGTTTAAATTAGTAATTAAGCAAGCTGGAACAATTTTTAAAAGCTTCGGAGCTAAAATGAATTCAACATGAACAAAGTCAAACTTGTTCATTTGTACTCACTAACAAACTCGTTTGTTGTTCAAACAATAACTTGTTAAACACTGGATATGAAGCTGAAGATAACTCAAATCATATGTGATATTTAAGTTAAATATAATTTGTTTAACTATAATTATTTAATTATATATTTAATAATAATATATTATTATATCAATGAAATAGATTAATTATATATAATTTTATTTACTTATTTATTTTATTAAAGTTTAGTTATTGGACGTAAAAATACATATGACCTATGTGGTATGTATGAATGAGATATCTCTTAAAATTAACTTTAAACTCACCCTTGCAAACCTTACTTTCTCTCTAGCTTCTCATAGTTTTGTGTCCAGATTTCGTCCGAGACATACGAAACCTTGAGTAGTTAGGGCGTGCAAGCATTGGAGGCAGCGATGAAATCACAACGTGCAAGGATCTCAGAAAAACTAGTCTCTCGTTTATCTTCTCTTTCTACTCTTTTCATAAGTCTGACTCAATGAAAAAGTGGCGTAGGAAAGTGCAGTGCAATCTTCGTAATTTATATATGATTAAAAATAAGGATGATGCAACAACTCAATATAAAAGACATCTACAGGAAAGGTAAGTGTGCATCACCATAGTAAAATCAACACCTATATTTGAATGTGAGAGTTTGGTGTATACTTGGAAGTACAATCATGCTAAAATATTAGATATTACTTTTCATATGATCATAGTTCATGAATTACCTTTCATTTTTATAGAGTTTATAATCGATAAATTAGTATATGCGATCATATTTGTAAAATTATTTATTAACTTTTTATATAAAAATCATGATACTCGTTTGAATTTTACTCTTTTATTAGCCCGTTTAAATACACATTCATTTGTCATAAACAAATCAAGTATAAATCAAGTTCAAATATTAGAAAATTTAAACAAGTCAAGCTTGAATAATATATGAAAGCTCAACACAAGCCGAAGCCAAACATGAATAACTAATAATTATAGCAAGCCAAGTCCAAACCATAATATACTGCTCAATTACTAACCAAGATACAAGTACCAGCTACAATAGTGACATGTGAACTAAATTCTAAATTTTAATTGTTATGAGAAATCCAATTAGGTTCCTCTTAGGGTGCATGTGGTTTTGAGGTAAGGAAGAGCAGCTTTTTGGATAGTTTAATGCTGAACCAAGCCAAAACTCCTAAATTATTTCGTATTTTTAAATTTAGGGTTAAGGTTTGAGTTGCTTTAAATAATTCAACAAGTGGTTTGATTGGTGGCTATGCTGGCTGGTTGGGGCTAAATCTATTTTATTGGTTTTAAGTTTTTTATTGAGTTTTATGTACTAGTATGTTGTTGGCTTTAGATTGATTTGGAGAATATTGAAAGCTTGAAAAATTTTTTGGAGAAAATGAAGAAACAAAAGCAGAGAAATGAGCGATGATAAGGCAGCTTACAGTGCAACAAAAAAAATCATATCCTTGAAGAGAAACAATAGTAGAAAGTATTACATATATAAGGAGAAGAGTCCAAAGAAAGGGATCAATGGTCCCTTGTTAGTTATAATAATAATGATATGAAGAAGTGGAGGATAATACCCGAGTGACATTTGTTATTTTGTATGATTCGGTTATTATATATGAGTTTTATGATATTTTTATTACACTTTATGACATTAATAATCTTTATATGTGTTGATTTTGAGTTTTGGTTTGTTTGAGTTCAATTATGCTTCTGATTAAATTATCTTTTATCTTAGGTTAAGATTGAGCTTACATATTAGTTAATTTGGGTTCAATGGTTTTAATTTTATTTGGTTTGTTCAAATTTAAGTGTGGATTGAGTGAGTTTATTTGAGATTTGTATTCAAATTAATATATGCTCAAGCACTTAATGAGCAATAACTCTCATTGATCTATTTCTAATTATTCGTAATATTGACTTTTTAAATCTTAACAAATCATATATAATTAAATAGGTCATGATAGGAAAGATATCTCTAATTTTTATATATTTAAAATCATACATACATATATATATACAATCACAAATGCATGGTCTTATTTATGATTATATTGTATGGTCACACACACACACACCCACACACACACACACACACACACACACACACATATATATATATATATATATATACATACACATATTTAAAATCAAGTATTTCCTTGATCTTACTTCTTATATTTGTTATTTACCTATTCTTTTAATTCTCTTTAATCTATATGGTTTTAATTCACTTCTTAAAGTTGTTGTTCAGGATTTACCTTATCTTTTGATCTTAATTTATAATGTAAGTCTATCCTGGCCTACTGTTGGGTGCGAGGTTATTGGTTTCCTTGAATATTTCTCTTGGTAAATCGGAAAATGCCTTTTATGTTCTGATTCAAAGGTGTTTCATAAAATATATTTTAATATCAAAATGCTATAAATATAAACATCAAATTTTCAATATTATGTTTGCAAATACATAAATATTGTGGGTGTTTGCATAACTTGATAACTTTTATCAAATATTAAGTTCTCCCAGCTCAGGAATGTGCTCCCCCGCCATCCAAAGTTGAAACTGTCTTTTCAATCAGTCATGCTGGTGCCCACCTTGTTGACGAAAGCAAAAATATTTGGCAGGAATAGAGGAGAAAAGAAAGGAACAAAGAAGCCATGAAAAGGACCTCTCAATGTCTCCTCCCCCATGCGTGGGGAGAAGTGTCATGTTTGAAAGCTCAGTCAGAACCCCAGCTGGCTCCCCCACTGCCTAGCTTTGCTGCTGC